CTGCACTCCCTCCCCCCGCTCGCACTGAGATCGCTTTGTACATCTGTGTGTTTATATGTCTCATATGTATATGTTTATTATCATTCAACACATCAACTAATGGAATGTAAAAGCATTATATGGGCAAAGGCGTCTATGTCTGTAACAGTAAACAGCATTGACCCTAAGCTGAACTCTAACCACAGCCACCTGACCACTAGTGTAGTAATAATTTAAAAAAAGGGAATTTTGAATTTGTGAAAAGTTATTCACATGTTAGGGTTAGGTTAGGTTAGGGATATAGATAAAAACAAGTTTCACCCTCATTAATTCCACCCTCATTAGCATATGCGATCTGATTGGCCAAAGCTTACCTGGCCGTATCTGGTGAAGCAGAGGTCCAATGTGCACATAACTGGTACCATTGGATTCAGGAAGCTGTCGTATGTCAGGTAGCGTGGATGTATGGAGGAAAGGGTGTTGCTTTCAAATCCAATGTGACCTTACAACAGTCTAAAGTGTGACAAAAAGGAAGTCAGTCATCGGTAAAGGCAAAAAATACATCCAAATGAAATAACCTGTGAAATCAATTGTCTTTTTAGCAAGAATGTATTACAAGCCTGTATAAAAATAGTTTTCCAGCCAGTTTGTGTGTGTGAGTGCGTGTGTGTGTGTGTGCACAGGTGTGTGTGTGTGAGAGAGAGAGTGCATCATTAGAAGTTAGACTTGAAAGATGTCTGTGAATAAAGTCAGCCGCTCAAGCGCTCCCCCTAGAGTGTTATTTTCTGCTAAAATGTTGGAATCCTTAGCAGTTTCTAACACATGGCTATTCATAGTTTTATCCAGGAGAGGGCGACTGAGAAGCCAAGGTTTATTTCCTGGAGAAGATAGATAGGTAGGTAGGTAGGTAGATAGATAGATGTGTTTGATGCTATTTCTGTACAGAATTTGATTAAGTTTTGTGTTAATGAAGATTTTGTGGGTCAGGGGTTAGTGGATTAAGGCTAGTGGTTAGTGAGCCTGGGGCTATCAGGTTTAAGGTTCAGGTTTAGTGGCTAGTCTGGGGTTAATTGCAACTAGGTATAGGTTTTGAAAAATTACAACAGCTCCCCCCGACCTAGCACCCGTCTAGGAAGGTTTGGAGTAGGGAGACTGAGGATGTGTGCACGGGCCTACGCCTGTTAGACCATACCAGGAAAGCATTGATCCATCTCCTTTCCAGGAGAACAGCCTATTTGGGCATTGGGCTGAGAATGTGGAGGACCAGGAAGTAGGGAGATTGAGAAAAGGATATTCCTGTTGGTTTTGTTTTGTTCCCTTCTAAGAGATTAGCCTAACTGGGCATTGGCTATTCGGTTTGGAAAGGCTAGGTTTCAGGTCCATAAGTCTACGAACGGTAGGTTTTGGGTAAGTGTTGGTTCAGGGCTAGATTTAGATCTTTTTAGCAATGAGGTCCTTGCTGTTTATTTGATCTATCGATGTTGATTTTGGTAGGCAGACTTTGCCATGTTAGATATGAAAGTCAAGTGGATCTGGGAGCGCAAAGTTTTTGGCTGAACTTGACCAGCGAATCAAACTGCAACTCGAAAGTCACTGCCTGATAATCCTGATCCAGCATCACGTTCCGTCAGCGAGTGCTGCTCGAAGTCAAGGAAGATTTGAGGTCCAATGGTTTGCATGTAAAACTATATTCTTATTGGCTTTTTTAGATCGAGATTAACCTTTCTGGGCATTGGTCACTAGGTTTGGGAAGGCTAGGTTTTCAGGTCCATAGTTCTGCGAATGGTAGGTTTTGGGTAAGTGTTGGTTTGGGGCTAGATTTAGATCTTTTTAGTGACGAGGTCCTTGTTGTTTGTTTGATCTATCGATATTGATTTTGGTAGGCAGACTTTGCCATGTTAGTTCTGAAAATCAACTGGATCTGGGAACGCAAAGTTTTTGGCTGAACTTACTCCGGACCAGCGAATCAAACTGCAACTCGAAAGTCACTGCCCGATAATCCTGATCCAGCATCACGTTCCATCAGCGAGTACTGTTTGAAGTGGATCGAGATTAACCTTTCTGGGCATTGGTCACTAGGTTTGGGAAGGCTAGGTTTTCAGGTCCATAGTTCTGCGAATGGTAGGTTTTGGGTAAGTGTTGGTTTGGGGCTAGATTTAGATCTTTTTAGTGACGAGGTCCTTGTTGTTTGTTTGATCTATCAATATTGATTTTGGTAGGCAGACTTTGCCATTGTTGCCATTGATGTCATTGTTGACTTTGTTATTGACTTTGCCACAGTCCCCTGGACATTCGAATTTTAGTAAGATTTGGAGCACTAGGTTTAGTTTCCATATAGGTATAATGGTTGGGTTTAGGGTTAGATATATAGATAAAAACGAGTTTCACCCTCAGTAGCATATGCAATCTGACTGGCCAAAGCTTACCTGGCCGTATCTGGTGAAGCGGAGGTCCGATCTGCACATAACTGGTACCATTGGATTCAGGAAGCTGTCGTATGTCACGTAGCGTGGATGTATGGAGGAAAGGGTGTTGCTTTCAAATCCAATGTGACCGTACAACAGTCTAATGTGTGACAAAAAGGAAGTTAGTCATCGGTAAAGGCAAAAAATACATCCAAATGAAATAACCTGTGAAATCAATTGTCTTTTTAGCAAGACGGTATTACAAGTCTGTATAAAAACAGTCAAGTCAAGTCACCTTTATTTATATAGCGCTTTTAACAATACAGATTGTGTCAAAGCAACTGAACAGCATTAATTAGGAAAATAGTGTGTCAATAATGCAGAAGGACAATAGTAAACACTCATTTTTCAGTTAAAGACAGTTCATCATTCAATTCAGTGATGTCATCATCCAGCTCAGTTCAGTTTAAATAGTGTCTGTGCAATCAAGTCAACGATATCGCTGGAAATGAAGTGTCCCCAACTAAGCAAGCCGGAGGCGACAGCGGCAAGGAACCAAAACTCCATCGGTGACATTACAGAGATGCAGAAGTAACAGTTTCAACAGAGAGAAATAGACAGGCTCAGAAAAATGGTTGGTTAGTGAGAAGTGGGCCTGTTCAGTTTTTTTTTTAAAAAGTTTTTTAATGTTGTTCATGTCGATTGAAGATTTTTTTTTTTTTTTTTTTACATTATAGCATGTCATTCACACACACTGTAACGTGCTATTGTGTAGTAGTATAGTACATCACAACCATATAGTTATACCCAAAAAATATTGATTCTATTAATTTTTCAATAAATAACATTTTTAAACAGTTGTCATTCTTTCTTTCTTCAGAAAGATAATTCATTTTTGCTGTTGATGTACTTCAGTTTCTCAATTCCATCAATTGTAAATTCACCATCTTGCTCTTTTCCTTGTCCACTAGAGGGCAGCAGAGACGTTACAGTGCGACGCTCCTCCGGCACCGCTCTCTCCATCATCGCCTCCAGAATAGAGAGCCTGCATAAAGTCTCATGAAGTTATAGATAACTAAGTGCTGCCTTTTTTGCCCCGTAACGCGTACTTCCAGTGTGAATTGAAATGTGTTTGTGGGTTTCATTAGGCGGCCGCATGTCAAACATAACAGTGCCATAGTGAACTACCTGTCGTCTTCCGCTGGGGCGTGTTTCCAGAAGTGCACGTCAGAGGAGCAGAGCCTGGCTGTCACTCAAAGTGGAGTTATTGATTCCGCCGCATCATCTGCCCTATTCGGAGTGACACCGTCGATCAGTCGAGAATCAAGGTAAAAAGAGAGAGAAAAGAGATAAACATCTTTGGTTTCCAATATCTGCGTTGAATGAAATGGCTATTCCACAACACATTCACGCACTTGCATTTTTGAAACTCTGTGCCAGTCCATAGCATGTGAACGGCTAAAATAGTCAGGTGACGTGTAACAGTTACGTTGACATTTCATCTTTAATCAAGTGCTTTTTTATCCCGTTACTCTGTATGTAGTTGGGGCATACTTTTAGTGCAGACAATCGAGCATCTTAAACTTTCCGTGCGTCTGTTGAGGTCGACCACAGTAGGCTATTACAATGTAATATGCTGCAGAACACTCACAAATGAGAACATTTCGATACAGAAACGATGGGACTGATTTATTATCCTTTTTCACCAGTGACAACATGCTTATAAAGCTGTTGTGTCGATATGTGATCGATTATCGCTGAACAAACCCACGCGCATGCGCTATTCTGTTGTTTTCCTACCGCTAGTCGAAAACACGTTAACCTAAATTTAAGCACTCGCTAACCCAAAGCCAACCTTATCATTAATCTAAACCCCACCACCCCCACATACACACACACTTTATTATATCGTTTTTGCATTTAAGTAAACTCAAGGATGCAGGACACAAACAAAATGTTTTGATTTAATCATTTTGTGTAAATCTACATTTACAGCTTCAGATTGTTTTTTCCAACCATATTAATTTCACAATGGTCTAGTCCAAATATGTACTTTTGTTTTATTACAGTGTATACTTTTTTTGCCTTGATTTACCCTAGCAGAATGCCAGTAAAATGTGACATGTCCCATATTTGCGGCACATTGTTACCTGACCGTAGGACAGTTAAAAATATTTTTTTAAAAAGTTATCCGATCCTATGGAAAAAAAATTTATTTAACTTTTTCCAAGTAAAACTGTGTTTAAGAATTAAAAAATCCACCGATTCTGCAGTTTGACAATGAACAGGCCTGATTGCAACACACAGCTGTACAGTACATTCAAAGCAATATGGGCATGGAGATGAGGAAACATCCAGATATTTTGGCACAATTTTTTTAATCTGTAAAGTGTTGGTAAAGCAACGAATAAGTAGTGCACATTGCAATGCTTTCATGTGTGGAAAGCTGTAAGTCATTTTTTATGGTTTGTGCCCCGCTCTCCCTTAGCTCACTTTTAAGTGCCCGTTCTTCAACCCTAAATGTGGTCAATGATCTACACACACGCACACAGAGTTTCCACGAGATATTTCCAATTATAACTTTCTGTTGTGTCTACCCATCAGGACAATAAAAAGATGAGCAGCTCTGAAGGAGATGACCTGGACCTGTCTTTTGAGGAGGTGTTAGTCGGTCGAGTCAATTCTCTCGAGAGATTTGCTATTGAGCCGCTTTCTGATGTGATGGAAACACACAGAGACCTCCAAGAAACCGTAAACAACAAGGTGATCGGTGACATGGCTGCAGTTAAGGCTGACCTTGTTTTTTTTAAGTCATACATAGCAGACCAAGACCAAGAGATTGAGGAGTTGAGGAAGCAGCTGGAAGAAAAGGGCAGCAGTGCTCCTGCCCACTCCGGAGGCCAGAAGAGACCAGCTTCCTCACCAGATTGGACTCCTGAACGGAAGCAGAGATGGTCTGAAGAGCTGGACAAGATCCTGGAGCCATTCTGGCAAGAAAGATCCGATGCCCGTGAGAAGCTGACTGAAAGGCAGCAGGCCTTCTTCAGCTACATGATGGACCAGCTGAAAATCAAAGGTGAGCGCGCTTTAAGCCTCTTAACTGTTTGACAGGTTCTCTCAATAGAAGTCAAGTCACGTGAGAACTAAAAATAACCTCCTGATATTTTGGTCAGATCGGAGAAACCTGGAGATGAACGCGGCGACGGTGCTCAACGAAGGAGTTTCCAGGGGCATCTGGGAGGAGGACTGGACTCCTGCGGGAATAAACGCAACATTCACGCAATACCTTGTAGAAAAAATAAGAAATCACGTGAAAAAAACTCATCAGGAGGACCAGTGAAAAGGCAAGACTGAATTAAAAAAAGGAATAATTTTGATCGTTTTGTTTACGTTATATTTGACTTTTGTATATAATCTAAAGATATAACGCACACACACACTCTATATATTTATTTATTCTTGATATCTACAATTTTTTAATATGTATATTTATATGGAAAATTGTAAACAACCATCAGAACAGCAAAACTACAATAAATACACACAATATATATATAGTAAAAAAAATTAAAACAAAGGTGAGGTACTGGCTATATACTTTAAATCAAGAAGCCACATTACTAAAAGATACAAACAGGAACTATAAATAAAATAATATAAAGCATTTATAAAGTGATTGAAGTAAAACTGATGGTAAAAAAACAAACAAATCATTAACTATATGAACTAAAAAAAAAGTGTGACTATAAATGCAAAAAAAAAAAACAGGCCTCTTTTTCCTTAGATACTGCTTAGAATAACCTTTCCCATTTCATACATCGATTCCATTTCTGCTGAACGCTACCGGTTCCTGCTGGGCAAGTTGGTGTTGTTGTGGTTCCGCTGCTCGACCGGTGCAAGTTCAGAGGTGGGCCAGACACCAGGTACGCCTCCACCTGTTACCCCTGAACATATCTGCTGAATTGCCTCTGGTGAGGACCGACTCGAATCTGTTCACTTGTGATGACAGAGAAAAGAACACAAAAAGAACAAACGGTTACTTATCAGATAATAAATGGATAACCGTAAATTACGCTAATTAGAATTGAAGTTCAACTGATCGGAAAGACTCACCTCACCGTCAGTGTCTCAAGTTGTCCACCAGAGGGCAGAAGAGATTGTCTTCAATGTGAAGCTTACCCTGAACCGCTTTACAGTTTTCACCTAAAGTTCAACAAAGATGCAGATTATTAAATAGGCCTAACAGGCACCATGTCTGTCTGACTGTCTTTACGGATAGATAGGGAGCAGTTGAAAATGAAACTCAGTTGTGCTTTGCTGTGAGGGGGGGAAATCATCAGGTGCTCACAAGAAGAGCCCCCAGGTATCACTGTATATTATAGGATCACTCTGGACCGGACTAACTCCCATCCCCCTCTGTGAACCCGGACCTCATCACAGAGCTGTCAATCAAACCTGTTTTTTGCACTGCTGCTGCTCAGTTACAGAAAAGGACATAGTCGAACTTCTGCTGATCAAAGGTAATAGATAAATTGTTCGTTTTTCGTTTTTGCATGATATTACAAGTTATGCCTGTACATAAGCGTTCAGACCGTGTGCGTTCCCGAAATTCGGTCACTGATTGGATAAATAACTGTTAGGTTACATCAGTGTAGATGATTCAGCATTTAATCTTTGCGTCTTCAGCGGCTCCTGTCGTCGAGCTCTCTACAGCGTGTGCATAATTATTATGCAAGTCAATATTCTGAACGTATTTCTTTTCCCAAACATGTTTTAACAATTCCAAACCAAATCTTAACTAATTCTATGAAATCTGTACGTTATATAATTATTTAAATGTAGCCTAGGGGCTTAACGAGGGCTGGAAGGGGAAAAACACCTTATATTCATATGTGCATAAATTATTAAACGGGATTTATTTACTAAAATGTCAGAAATGGTTAAGTTCCCATGAGAAGGTTGCAGTACTATAGAAATTGCACAAGTGTAAGAGAAAAGATGCATTTAACTGCTAAAGACTTCAGACAGTTTCTGGTGGTTTTGCACTCATTTCTCCAGTGCCACCACTTTCCTGGAGGTGTCCAGTTTATTGAGACTTTGCTTAGGTAAACAATCCTGCAACATGAACTCCACTTAATAAGAATCACTAGTCATTAAATAGATAAAGAGTTGCGGTTTACATTTTATTTGTCATGTTATTATTTTTTTCAGATATAATTCTATTTGTACGTCGACAGTTTTACTACAAATACCATGGTTGAACTAGGGTTAGTGTAGCAAAACCATGTTTAATTTGTGGTTCCCATGCTTTAATGTTTGTACGCCCCCTTCCTTTGGCATGGCCTTTTCCCGAACCTGCAGACACCAGCTGGAGAGAAGAGATACCACTGTGGAGAGATGGCAGGGAGAGTCAAATGTATGTGCTTCTATATCTTTATTTTTCCACAATAAACTCATCCGAGCGCACGGTGTATAAAAGCGTGTTATGTTACTGAGAAATAATCAGGACGTTCTTCAGCTGTGTACAGGAACCCTTGCAGCGTGATCCACTGCTTGATTTGTCTTAAGCCCCAGATCAAAATTGACCATCATTTAAGAAATTCCTGCTTGCGGGATGCAGGAGGAAGTCCTGAGGGCCAAGGAGTCACAAGAGAAGTGGGCAAGAGAGGGGAGGGTTATGAATTTCTCACAGGTCAGGGAGGACCCGTCTTGTGAATCCTTGGCAGAGTACTTCCACTCAAAGGGATTCTTGATCCAAGAGGGGCATGACAGGTAGGGAAGTGTGTGAACGTAAAGTCAGTTAGGCATTGTAATTCATTTGTGATGGGTGTAATAGACTGTACAGGGGTGTGATAGTCATACCATAGGTCATGCACCCTTTGATTCCTCCAGCGCTGCAAGCCAGGAGTCCGAAATCCTTGCTCTCACAGAGGAGGACATGGCTGAGGTGTCCAACCACCTCAGCCAACATAAGGGGGTCCCTGCAAAGAGCAAGACGGACTTTCGGAGCTTCTGTCTTGCCACAATGATGTGGGTTCATCACCTTGGTCCTGCCAACATTAAAGAGTTCAAGGTGAGCTCACAGCTGACGCATTTTAGAGGTGTTAAAAACACAAATATAATATATTATATTATATATGCTCTTCTGAGGTTGAAGAATACACATCAGAACCTTATCGTTTCAGTTTGAATGTTTTCACAGGTCCAGGAGTGGAACGACAGAGTGCCGGAGGAAGACGGAGTCACTGTAACGCTGTCCAAAGGAGCTATCGAGTTAAGCAGAAAAGAAGAGCATGTAAGATGATCACACTACACTATCAGTTCATTAACAGTTTTGTGACAGTGAACAATTAAAATATGCGTAAATCTTTGCCGTAGTGGTTGGACTGCTACTTTGTTCATATCCGGCCAGAATATTTAAAGGCCCAAACTCCAGAGAGAGACGACAGGGACCGGTTCTTCCTCGGGGCTTCGGGTGTCCCTCTTAGCAACCCGACAGCCGATGTACAAAGGCTACGACAAAAGCAAGTATTGTAGTGTTTCATGCGGATACGGTTGGGTTTCACGACAGGCCATGACGGACATTATACCTTAATTTCTCTGTAAGTGCTTACAATGGTGCCAGTCACATTATGGTCTACTTTAAGTGAGGTGTGTTTGGTTAAAACTCACCTGAGGCCTGTTCCCCAGAGCAGTCCACTGGCAGGACCGGCCAAAAACCCCTGGCATCTCACGTCCAGTGTGTTATTGCCAAGGAGAATGCGTGGACCACCAATGTGCCCTCCGTGGACAGTGTTCTGCTGGCATGGGTTCCCTGCCAGGAGCCATCGGCTGCAGAGAATGATCCTGTGATCATTGCCTCCGTGGTCCAGAAGAAATGGAAAGGGCTGGCCATTAAGAGCTTTGAGGGGGAAAGGCAAAGGTGTGTCACAGTTTTGACTACCCCCTTTTTGAACACGATTGTAATCTTTTTTTTTTTTTTTTATTTTGTAAAGAGTGAAGCGGTTTGCTCAATAGCACGTTCATTTACCTTTGTGCAGGGGTCATTGCCACCATGGAGTTCAAGAGGAACCAGGTCATGTGTGACTACCACGGTGAAGTGGTCTCCAAGCAGGAAGGGGAGCGGAGGCTGGAGATCCTCACCGGGGAGCCGTCATACCTGTTTTTCTTTAAGGGCAAGGGTGGCAAGCCTCTCTGCATCGATGCCCAGAAGTTCCCCTGTGACTGCCACCCAGACTAGGAGACTTATGGGAGGAGGATGAACCATTCCCGCAGCAAAAACAATGTGCGGCCTCAGAGTTTCTCTAAAATTTCTGGATGGTCCCAGGGAATGCGTTCTCTTCTTTGCTCTGCGGGACATTGCCGTCAGCGAGGAGCTCCTGTGGAATTACGGGGTTCGCAGATCTTCATTCCAAGGAGAAGGGTCGGATCTTTCTTGGCTTGATGACTGACTTGGCGCAGAGCTGGGATCATGTAGCTCTTCTTGTCCACATCTCCTTGTCACACACATATATTTTCCCAATGTATAAATGTAAATACTGTATGAAAAATAAAATAAAAAGTAAGAGTGTTGCACTGCATACTGTATCCACTTTCGAAATAAAGTGGGTCATTCACTTTCAGTGTATCTCAGCGTGTGTGCGTCCTTACTTTACTGTTAAGTAATCAACTTCTGTTTAGTAATGTGTAAAAAAAAAAAAAAAAAAAAATATATATATATATATATATATGAAAAGAAATAAATTTTATAGAGCACTGAATACCATTATTTTACTGCAGTTTTGGCTAAAGACAACATCCATTTAGATCATTTGGCTGAAAATAATGCAGCATACACAGATTGAGCAGTCACTCTTTGATCTGGCCAGTCACGTGATCAACGCACCTAGAATGGGAGAGAGAACAGTTTGATAGTGAGATGAATTCTGTCTCCAGCACTATCAATAAAAACAAAAAACAAAGATAAAATATGGAAAAAAGGATAAGAATAAAAGGTTGATTACATTTTGGTAAAATCATTAATAAATTAGAATAAAATATAAATTTTTAATTGGCTTACAGAGTATTTTTGGCAAAGCCCAATACTTTCTGTAGACTTACCCTACAGTCAGTGTCTCATGTTGTCCACCAGAGGGCAGCAAAGACTTTGTCATGTGACGCACGAGCTCTCGTCTCTGACCTAATGTTAAAGACGCAGATTATAAACTTCCTGAGAGGAAAGAGAAGATGAAGCGTTAAAGTAGTCCATTCAATCCTTGTTACATCGCGTGGCTATTTCTACTTTTTTAAATGTCACTTTATTTAATATTGCAGTACTTTTTCTTAAGCATTTCCACTAATATTGTACTTAACATCAATAAAATCTGTCAACCTTAGAAACAGTCCTATAAAGCTATCAGGTGCTTAAAATATATGTTTTCCAGATTTAATTTACTTTTAAACGGGCTCAAAAACCTTGAGAAAAAACAAACAAACAAATAAATAAAATAAGAAAATTGGTTTGCCAGTTTTTGGAGTTTTAATGAAACAACTATCCACTGATAGCAAATTTAGTAGAAGCTTAGTTAACCTGAACCGAACATGAACCAGAACAATAAACTTACCAATCAGCAGTTACAGCTCGGTGAGAAACCTAAACCAAGAACTATGAAACACAAGGGCTCTGCAGACTAATGAATAACAAGACACACTTGTGACCAATCAAGACAACCCAAGCAACAGGGAGTCGCACGACAGCTGGGGGCTGTTTCATAAAAGCGGGGATTAAAGTCACAAAAACTGACTTGAAATAAGCTAACAGATCAATCGGGACTAACTACTCGGGTTTCATAAACGACCTTTTAAACTCACGCAATCTCACTAATTCGATCCAGGTTCAATGAGTCAGGATCATTTCTTCTTCTTCTTTTGGAGTTTTTTTGGCTGTTGGCAAACAAACGATAGGTGCATTCCCGCCACCTACTGGGCTGGAGTGTGGACCATTGATGGACTAGGATAATTTTATATTTTTATTGATGGACTTTTAATTTAAAAAAAAATTAAACCCTTCTAAATCCTGTTAAACAGATCTACTTTAAAAAAAAGAATGTAATTAAAGCATTATATATTTTATAATGATTCAAGCCATTATTCAACAAAGTTTTAAGTGTAATATTTTCTAACCCTATTTCTTTTAATTCTTCCAACAGAAATGCTCTTTCATTATCATAAGCAGAACAATGTAATAGTGCATGCTCTACTGTTTCTGGTAATCCACACAGACTACAGTTCCCAGACTCATGCTTATTCATTTTATATAGAGAAGAATTTAAAGCAGTATGGCCAATGCCAAGTCTGGTAATAATTGTATCTTCTCTTCTACTACCAAAATGAACTCTTTCAACCCCAACTTGATTTTGAATATGATAAAGATTCCAAACTTCTTGCCATCTAATTTTTATTGCTGTTCTAATTTTAGCCTTCTTTCCTTAGTGGTATAATAATTTCTATATGTGATAATTTCAGTGCCTGTTTTGCTAAATGATCCATAACCTCATTTCCATCCACTCCCACGTGTGCTGGAACCCACAGGAAACATATCTTAATTCCTATCTTATTCACTTTATACATACATAAAAGAATTTCATACAAAATGTCTTGTCTTGAACATCTTCCACTGATAAGTGGACTTGATAATGCAGAGAATGAATCTAAACATATCACCGCATTCATTGCCCGAGTATCCTCCATCCACCTGATAGCTAATAATATTGCTACCATCTCTGTAGCGTAAACTCCTACTTGATCAGAAACTCTTTTACTAATCTTGATTTGATAAGCTGGGACAAATACAGCAGTTGATGCTCGTCCTGTCTCGTGATCTTTGGAACCATCAGTGAAAATTGAGATTGCGGAGCTGTAATTCTGTTCTAGATACAGTTTAACCATGACATCTTTTGCTATTACTCTATTTTTGTCATTAATGCTTTCTTGCAAATGAAAGTCTACTAATGGTAAAGGGAATAACCAAGGTGAAATGGGTGACACTACTACTACAGGGCTCATTTCTACATTTATTATTCCACATGACTGGGCTTCTTCTTCTGCCAACTTTCCAAAACTTCTAAACTTGTCTGACTCATGTTCCCAACATTTTCCCAAAACTTTTTTAATTGGATGAGTTTCATCATGTCCCTTTACAGAAATCCAATAAGTCAACATCAACTTGACTCTTCTAATATCAAGTAGCAGCTATGTCAGGATCATTTGATGTGCACGCTTATTCTTAAGCAGCCCTTAATGTCGATCATGGATCAAATCGACCCACCATGGCAAACAGCGAATATTTGTGCCGTTCTAATGCATTTGAGACATTGTGTTTTCCTCAGTGCATAACTGACACGTCACTGGTATATTTCTCATCTGTAAATGTTAGAAAGTCATGCAGATAAATCAATTTTGCTGTCAGGAGTGGCCGAGGCTTACGCGAGTGAACAAGCGCTGCTACGCGCATGCGCGCTAAACAGATGGAACTCAATAGAATAATAGCGCAATAATTCTGAATAAAATATGCATTCTGCTAAAATATTTGTTGTTGTACATTAAATGTGACATGTAGAATTTTAATTCTACATATAAGTGTATTTTTATGATAGCAGTAACTGTAAATCAAATGTAAGCTAGCTAATACAACCCTAATTACAAGCTCAAATGAGTTAGTGTATTCCTCTTATCTTATAAAATATAGTCTGTTTTATATTATTTATTTTCTTTTTTAATTTAGTGATTTTAACTTTTAATTTAGTGTTTTTAATGCTTTAAAGAGCAATTTTATATTGTAATGTTTTAATGTTCTACTAATAACCATAAAGTACAGCAGTCTTAAAACCAGAGAGAAAGGCTGCATGGCTAGAAACTGCTGATCAAATGAATGCGCATTTAGCAGCATGTTAAAATGGTTTCAAATATCTTAAAACAAAGTCATTAAATCTTGGGCACAATACATAAAATACAATCGGTTTTAGCCTATATTTTTATTTATTTAAGTTTTTGTATACTTTTATTTTTGGACTGACAACGTCAAATAATTGTATATGAGAGAGTTAGTGCCGTAATATCAATGCGTTCCTATTGGTCAGTGTTAGAGGAGCTCAGCTTAGCTTGACAGTTAGCCTGCTCCGGACCAGGTTAGTTTCTCAGCATAAGTTGCTAGAGTGACTGAGCTTGAGCTATGGTAATTTTGCTTTATGAAACCAAATCAAGTGAAAGTAAGTCAGACTAACTGAAATAAGCCTGGCTTATTTGTTTTATGAAACAGCCCCCTGGGCAAAGCAGTGAGAACACCAGGATCTGTAAAGCCACTATTTGTTATATTTTGTAAACATTTGAAGTATTACTCGGATACAACATCTACCTCCAGCACATTAAAGCCTTAAAATCCATGACGTTGAGTACATTATAATATTAATTCTTTCTCAATGTGCAGTTGACTGTGTGCTCTGTGACCTTCTGCCTGGTTGTTAAAACCAACTTTTGAGGCAACTTTATTTTATGTAATGTAATGCAAAGAAAGAACTAAACTGAATGAATTCTCTAAAGTCTGCAGGGTGGTGGCCCTCCTTGAGCTGAGTTTGAAACCCCTCCTGTAATCACTCAATTAGTGTTTCAAATGAGGATAAACAATAAAACAGCTTGTGAACGATGTAATTAGGAGTAATAATTGCATGGACTGTGATACTGTAACGATGGAGGCGTAGTGACAATGGAGTTGAGGATCCAAATGCAGCTTTTATTCACAAGAGTGGTCAAGACAGGCAGGGTCAAACACCAACAAACAAGTACAATCCAGGGCGAGACAAATGTGCAATCCAATAAACAGTCCAAGGTCAAAACACAAGAAAGGCAAAACTTAGGAACATGGAAACTAGAACACACGGAAGGGCTAAACATTTAATCACCAGCGATGACAGAGAGTGTGTGTGCTGTTCTTATAGTCCTCCTAATGTGAGACAGCTGTGAACTGATGATGAGATCTGATGAGAGACAGGTTTATAGACCAGAGTCCAGGAAGGCGGTGGAGCGGAGGCGGAAAAGGGGGAGGGATGGAGGGCCAGGTCCATGAGGAAGGAGCGGAACAGGGGACTGAGACAGAGCCAGCGGAGCGGAGAGCCAAGGTGGAACTGGCGGAGCAGAGGGCCAAGGCGGAGCAGTGAGCCAAGGCGGAGTCATCGTGTTACGACCCTGGTCTAGGGTCAGGGAAAATGACATAAATAAAGAAGGCTGAAACCGCTGTTACCTTTGTGTTGGTGAATTTATTTTTCCTTTTTAAGTCTCATTTGTAGCATCACCATAACCAGGCTATCCCTTCGGGATTGATCAGGGCCAAAACAACAAACAAAACATTTCACTACCTGTACCCAAGACTCTAATTAGTCTATGTGAAAAGAAAAGGAAACAAATGACAGCATTCTTCCCTAACTCCCTAGCTAACACAAAAACAGGAGAAAACGATATTTACAATAAAGAAAACCGGCACCCAATCCCTACAGCCTTCATGGTGGAGAGACACGCCATTCGCAGTATTTGCAAAATACAGAAGAATAGCGGCGCACTCACCAACTTAACTTAACAGGAATAACAAGGAAAGAAAATTAACAAAATAGCTTTAGACAACAAAACAGT